GTGATCAAGCCTCTTCCCCATCCATGATGCGGTCTCCCTAGCAAGACATGTGACCACCTGACACCCCACAACACCATCAATTACATTCCTCGAACTGTCTTCCACGTCCCTGTGGCAACACTGCAGCTACGTATTTATGCTGTCCAACCCACAATACTAAATTTCTTGATTTTGGTAACTGTACTGTGGTTTGTCAGAGACTGGCCTTGTTTTTTAGGAAACAGACACTGAAGTATTTAGGTGTTAAGGGTATCATGTCCACAACTTACTCTCAAAAAGCTCAAAAAATAATGAGAGAGAGAAGAGAGAGAGAGAGAGAGAGAGAGAGAGAGAGAGAGAGAGAGAGAGAGAGAGGAGAGAGAGAGAGAGAGAAAGAAGAGAGACAGCAGATGTGCCAGATCTTAACATTTGGGGAAAATGACTGAACGCCACATGGGAGTTCTTTGAACTAACCTTACAACTCTTCTCTAAATTTGAAATGATTTCAAGATTATAAATTAAAATTTTAAGTAAAATAGAAGCATTTTCTATGTGCTGGGTCCTCTTCCAATAACTTAACATGCATTAACTCATTTAATCCTCACAACAACCCTCTAAGGTTAAGTCCTATTATGTGAACCTGTGGAAACTGAGGCCCAGAGAGGTGAAGTAACTTGCTTGAAGTCACACAGCTGGCATATGGCTTAGCTAGTATTTGACCCCAACTCTGTGGCTCTATATGCCATACTCTTAGAACACTAGACCACCTCTTAAAATATTAGCTCACATCTACATTTATAACTAGTATAAATGTGCATGGGGAATGCTCAACATTTTTACTGATGGAGGTCTCTATCAAAAATGATGGAGGGCCGGCCGAGTGGCTCAGTTGGTTAAGAGCTCGCTCAAGAATGTGAGCTCTGAACAACAGGGTCGCTGGTTCAGTTCCAAGCCCCAGCTGAGCTGCTGCTGAGCTGCCAACAGGTGGCAGGATGGCTCAGCTAAAAAGAAAAAAGAAAAAAAAATGATGGAGACCACAGCTCTTCACTGCTGAGGAAGGCAGTGGTTATTCTATCTTATAGCCAAGGAAACAGGTTCAAGGGGCTTAGGTGTCCAACCTGAGGTCACACAGCCTTCAGCCCTCCCAGGATATCACACAAACATATTCCAATCCTCAGTTTCAACCCACACAGGCAACTCTCAGTTTGTCTATCCAGCCTAGGAGGAGGGAGTGAGGGTCGATCTGTTGGCAGGAGGCCCCACAATTGCTCTATTCTATAACCCTTAACTGTGACATCCTGGCAGTTGTGTGCTCACAGGAATCATATAGCTAGCATATATTAAGCACTACTGTCTGCTATGCCTTACGCTCACGGCTTTACATTCATTTGATAAACACCTATTGAGCATCAACTATTGCCAGTCACTGATCTAGGTACTAGATATAGAGCAGCGAACAAAGTAGGCAGAACCCGTCCTCATGGAGCTGACATCCTGTGGGACAGATGCAATAAACAGGTGAGTAGGTTTATAAGTTTAATGTCAGTGATAAGTGTAATGGAAAAAATGACCCAGGGTAATGTAAGAGAGTGTGGCTTTTGGGATAGGGATGACATCAGTGAGGGGTGAATTGACAGCCTCTCCAAGGAGGTGACATTTAGGCTGAGCCTAACACTCTATCCCAAACTGTAAACCTTATCCAAGTAACGAGAAAGAATCAGGCCTGATCATCTCTTGGGGAAGAATGTTCCAGAAAGAAGAGCCAGCCTGTGCAAAGGCCTGTGGCTAGCGGGGGCCAAGGGTGTTGAGGAATAGCAAGAGGGACAGGGTGGTGGTGGCAGAGATAAGCTCAGAGAGATCTCTGCATGGACCCCTTGAATCCTTATAGTACATATTTTTTCTCCTCATGGTTCAGTCTATGTGCTGCTGAAGCGAGCACTGTCCCTACTTTTCAGATTAGGAAATTGAGGCTCAGAGAGAAAAAGAAGAATCACTTGCCCAAAGTTAGGAAGCAGGCAAATGGCAAAGCCAGGATGTAAACCAAAGACAGGGGGCCTAATGGCTGCATCAATGATTCTCTAATTTACTCCTGCATCAGAATGAAGGGGGTGGGGTGAACTGGTTAAAATGCATCTTCCTTTCTGCACCAGCACCCACACACACACACACACATACATACACACCCAACACCAGCAGCCTGATTCAGTGGCTCTGTGGTGAGCAAGGAATCTGGACCATTAACCAGCCCTCAGGAGGTTTTGATGTGGGCCATGCTTTGAGAAACCCCAGACAGGGTGGGGCTCGAGGTTGCCACCCATTAAAGGGAAATGAAATCAGTTTGGGGGTCCATGGCCACCACGATTAAAAAGGGAAATAAGCAGAGCAAGAACAGAAAATAGCAACATACTCTTTGTGTTCTAAGGGCTACCTACATTTTATGAAACTTGTTTCAGTTAAAAATAAGTGTGTGAATGCACCTAATTTATCCATCATAACGTGAATTGGAGGCAACATGATGTCTATCAGCAAGTGAGCTGATAAACAAATTGTGCCATATTTACACAATGGAATACTACTCAGCACCACAAAGAAATGAACTTTTGATACATGCTACATGGATGAAGGTCAAAATATTACACTGAGCAAAAGAAGCAAGACAAGAAGCATATGTTGTACATGAAATACTAAAATGACTAGTAGAATTTATAGTAACATAAAATAGATGGGCAGGGTGATTACCTCAAAGAGCAAAAGGGAACTTTCTAGGGTAAAGGAAACGTTCTGTCTTGATTATGATGGCGGTTACATAACTGTGTACAGTTTGTCAAAATCCATTGAACTGTAACACCTAAAATGGGTACAATTACTACATGTCAATTATGCTTCAATAAAGTTGATTTTTTAAATCATGTATGTGTGTATGTGCATGTACTGGGTTGCAATAAAAAATATATTTCTTACTGGTGGAATGAGGTCCAAAAACTTTGAGAAAACCACCACACAACCTCAATAAATTTCAGCAAAACACACTCGGTCTGTGGCCAAGAGATGCCCGGGCCCGGCATCTAGAACTTAACACTGGCTACCTTGGCAAGTCTGAGCCCAGTTTTCCAATTGTGAAAGCAAGAGGGCTGGGCCTCAGGGGCATCCAGAGACGACACTTCCTAGCCTTGACCTTGGGCAAATGACTCCACCACTCAGGCCTCGGTTTCCCTCTCATCTCCCAGGAAGATAAAGATAGGGCCCTACCTCAGAAGATAGGACAGTGAGGATATAATTAGATGCTACGTCAGGGCACAGGGCCTGACGTAGAGTGGTTCAGGGACTGATAGCCACGGCCATGGTCTTATTAGGGCCAGGGAGGAGGGGAGAGCCCAACCCATCATGGTATCTGCTAAGGGCCTGGAGCTGAGGCAAGAGTCTAGGGTGAAGCTAGGCCTCCTCCCGCAGCCGAATGTCCAGCTGTCCCTATCCTTCACTACCAGACCCAGCTGTTGGTTCCTCCCTCCCGGGAAACCAGACCGGCTTACCAGGGTCCTATTCTGGGGCCCGAATGCTGTGTCAGCATTTCCCAGGGCCCAGAGGGGGAGGGTAGGGGCTAGTGCAGGGTCAGCAGACCTGGCCTAAAAGAGAGAACATCTCCTTCCATACTCACACCCCACATTCAGCTGAGCCACTGAGAGGGAAAAGTGGGAAGGACTCCAAGATGGGCAACCCCTCCCCCCATCTCCCTGTCTCCTGCCCAGGCCCCAGAAAAGTGGGCTATTCTGGGAGAGACACCTGTTGTTCCAATTCCCATCCCTGCCCCCAGCCAGGGATCAGAGATGCAGGAAGAGACAGAGCTCGAGAGGCAGGGCAAAACGCAGAGGGCCCGAAGCCAAAACACAAAGACAAAGACAGGGACAGGGAGACAGAGACACAGAGACCACCCAAGGAGACTGCTAGGGAGTGACACTACCCAGAGACCATTAACAGCCATATTTGATCCCCCTCCCCAAAACCAAGGGGAGAAGAACAAGACCCAAAACCCAAGGAACCCCCAGAAAACCCTCAAAGACTTGGAGTTCAAAGGAGATGGGTCTTCCAGCCCACCCAGCCCCCTTCCCAAGAATTTAAATAGGTCAGAGCCTGGAGCAAGAAGAGAATTAGGGCTAGGTGGAGGGGGTGGGGGATGGCTAAATTAAGCTCAGGAATTAGAACCACCTCCCCCAAGTGCCTGCTTCCAGGGTGGTGGGAGGGGGTGCTCCCTCATCAGCCCCTCTTCTCCGGGACAAATCGATAATGTCAGAAGAGAGGGTGGCCAAAGGTCCCCCACCCCATTCCGCAGCAACAAATTTTGCTAATTCTCTATGGTGAGAAAGGTGGGGGGGAGGAAGAGAGACAAAAACTGAGAAAGACAGAGTGACAGTCACCCAAAGGGACAGAGGAAGAGACCCCGAATCTCAGAGACTACCAGCAATCAAAACAGACACCCAGAGACAGAGAGACACTCAGAAGGACCCGAGAGATAGTCCCAGAGACCCCTAACACAGAGGTACGCACCGTCCGCAGGAACTGGACCTCATCCTCGCCCTCTCCTCCGTCACCCATGATGCCGAGGCCCAAGGGGCTGATGCTGAGGTCGGGGTATAGGAGGAGGAGAACTCAGGTTGGGCGGGCCGGGAACGGAGACCTCTGGGGACGTCAGAGGCACCCGCGAGGCAGATGGAACTGCGAAGAGGACCTGCGTGCTGGACAGAGCTGAAAGGAGGTCCCCGCCCTCCGGCCCCCATTGGGCCAGAATGACACAGGCCCCGCCCCTTCGCCAGAGCCCCGCCCACGGACCCCAAACCTTAGCCAGAGGTAAGCGTGGGATGGTGCAGGGCGTAGGAGCGTCTAGAAGGTAGCTGCCCTCTCTCCATCTCCACGGTAAAGAAGTGGCCATCATTCTCCCATTTCACAAATTGCAAACTGAGGGTCTGAGCGGAAGCCCCTGCTTGATGTCATACAACAGAGCCGGAATGTGCTCCAGCTCTCCTGACTTTAAAAAGCAGCATACATAGTGATTAAAAGCAAGGACTCTGAGCTAGACAGTCGGATTGGAGTCCCACCCTTGTCACTCCCTTGTGTGACCTTGGACGAGTCACTTCACCTTTCCATGCCTCAGGTTCCCCCAACTGGTAAGAAGGATATTAATAGTATCTACCTCACAGGGCTGTTGCAAGGATTAAATGAGATGATTTATTTACAGCACTTAAAACAGTACTAATGCAAAGTAAATGTTATGTAAGTGTTACTATTATTGTTGCTATTGTTGCTTATGACTATGATTATTTTTTTTTTAAGATTTTTATTGGGGTATTGGGGGGAGGGGAACAGTGCAGGGGAATTGGGGGAAGGGGAACAGACAAGTTGCTGTCGTTTTGTTCTTCAGTCTAGTTGTGGAGGGCGTTGCTTCACT